TGGTAAGAATTTTAAATACCATAACTGGAAATCTATCTATTTCTACTATTGTTTACTTTCACCTAAATAATCTTAGTAACTACTGCTATCAATTTCCATGGCTGCTCCATGAAAAGCAGTAGAGATATCCCAGATGAAACCAATGTTTCAAGTTTTTTTGAAATTTGCAGTTGTTCTTTGCTGCTTTTAACATTTTTACTTGCTGCGACAAAACACTGTGGTCTTAGGTAAGTGAGATAACCAACCTATAATGTGCCTCTCTTTAGTCCAAAGGTTGCTTCTGGATCTTCCACAGCCTTGTGTAACTTAGTCTTTGGTATCACTTCAAAATGGTTAGACAATTACATAAGCAACATAGTATTAAGATTTTGATTTTGCTCATTTTATGAGTCATTTGTCCCTTTGTTTCTTTGTTTGCCTCCTCTTTTTTTGATTCCTTTCTTTTATAACCCAAATAATGGACAGTATGAAAAATCATGAAGATAAAGTGCCCCTTTTCTTCCTCTAGTCCTAACTACAAAGTAATTCTTTCTATTAAAAAATTTCATTGTTGCTTTGGATTTGAGATGCAGCTGTGTAAAACCAATGTGTTTTTATTAACCTCAATAAAAATTTGTTAAAAAGCTGTGAAATTACACTATCCAGAATCTTGCCCACTGTTTCTTTCCTCACTGCACTCTGCTGTTTTTCGTAAATTGAAATTCAAAAAACCCTGATCTATTACCAGATTTGATAAATAATGTGGTATTTTGAGCAAAGAAAAGCTCTTTTTGAACTTCAATCTGTTCTTGAAGAACTCGGACAAAGAATAATTACAGTATAAAAATCAGTCCATTATGGTAGAATGGGATCTTTCACAAAACTCTGACTAAGTTTACAAACAACCTCAAATTGTTTGCAGTCATGTATAGATTGGATATCAAGTCAAATCAAATAAGGACAGGCCAAACAAGTAAAATATTTTACCTAATTTCTTGTTTGGTGTTGACTGTAGAGACACAAATCGTAAGACTTGTTTTCTAAAACAAACTAAACATTGTTACTTTGATAGCAGCTGGCTCACGAGGCGTATAGTCTGTTCCCTAATAGCAAAATGGTATTTCACCCCTATAGATGAAATAATATTTTGTTACCTCATGGTCTGCACCCCGGAGGTATAACATAATATCTAGACTACTGAGGAGCAGCAGAACATCTGTGTGTCTGGAGAACTGTAAAGTGAGTAGAGAAATCTGGCTTTATAGCCTCTGCAGGTGAGATTTTACCAAGTAAGGAGAAACATGGATGAAATATTGTGTGCTTAGACATATATAAAGTAAGAATTGTAATCTCCATTATTAAAAAATGTTTAAGTGTTTAATGCTGTAGTTTCTCTGCAGGAAAAAGTGAACTTCCCGTGTTTCCTCCTCAGCTATTCTGTTTTGTTCTTCCCTGGAAGGTACTTCTGATTCAGTAAAGTACACTGACAGCCTGGGCACTTTTACCAGTGCTGGTGAACTCTTAAAGTGTGTGTTTGACTTAAAGCACAGGTAGCCTTGTTTGAAAAAAGCACATGTCTTAAATTGTCTCCTAATCAGATGTGGCTCTGATTTAGTGTGTGGAATCAAGCCTAAAGTTCATATGTTCTTATGGTCTACATCACTGTAGTACACAAGTTCCTTGCAGGTGTTCATGAAATTATGAACAGCCTCTGATTCTGATACAAGACTACTATGACTCCCACTTTAGTTGGAAGGAATTGATGTGAAAAGCTGTTAAGCAATTTGAACAAGACTGCTTAGGCAATCCTTGACAAAGCGTGAGCATTTGATTATTATTAGTTAAATTTTGTGTTTAAGAGAGCTGTAGTGGATCATATCTTAAATCTCAGATGATTCTGGTTTCATCTTAAATTTTTACATTTTCTTGTTCTGTTCATCCTTTACTTCCTGTGGAAGGACGATAGAGTCCAATGCGGACTTTAAATCACAAGAGTTGAGATTACGGAGCTAAACCACACTAGTAGTTTGCCTAGACAAGAAGTAAATTCTTCATTCCTGTTGTTCTGATGTCTTTCAAATGGTACCTAACGCATACGAGATGTCTGCAGCTACTGAAGTATCAAGGAGTGGCAGAAAGTCACCATGCCATTCTTTTCTTCATCCCTTATTTCGGGAGGTCTGTGCAGTCTGTGCTGACAAGACAAAACTTCCAGTCTGAGTTTTCTTTCTAAACCCAAGTTTTGATGATCAACGACAGGATGCTAAAAATACACTTAAATGTTCTCTGTGATTCTGAAATTGAGTTTCTGAAAAAGCATTGTACTTGTGGTAAGAAGTAAAGTGTGAAGTTCCAGAGAAATGAGCTGTGAATTGCAGCTGCAGTGGAAATTGATCCTGTCTGTCAGTCTCTGCTTCATATTCTCAGGAAAACAGAGCGGAGCAGAGAAGGAGCCAAGATCACCGATTAAATGGAATGCTAAAGTGCCAGGGGCTAGAACCGGGCTTGCTGGTCCCTCAGGTCAGAGCTGACACTGTCAGACTTCACTGCTTGATACCCTGCTGAAGCTGGCAGAAGGAGAGCGGTATGAAAAATGCTGCAGGCGCCAGCCGGGGAATTGGTAATAAGAACTACCTGCCTAAACTTCAGGCATGACAGGCAGCGTGCTCCTTGGAGAGGAAAACCTCTGCTCTTACGGATTGGTAGGCCTTTTTTTCCCCATTCACCTCATGATTCGTACCAGTGAGGCATAAGGAAATAGCTGGAGTACTCAGGAACAGCAGAGGCTCAGTTCATCTAGAGAACTGCAGAGCGAGTAGGGAGGTCTGGCTGTATAAACCCTCTGCAGGTGGGCCTTTATCAAGTAAGGGAAAAAACAAAGCTTCAGCAAACAGCTGTTGTGGTATGAGGTGTGTCTGTTGCATACAATATAATCAATATGGCATATTAATCTCCTTATTCATCTTCTACCCTAAAAAAACTGATTTCAGTTATGATTAGCACTGTGAAATGACACTTCTCTATCTAGCCATCATTTACCTTACCTGATGCAAAGTAACAGCAGCAGACCATTGCTAGGATGACAGCCTTCGAGTACTAGAAAAATAGTCTCATGAAAGTCTCATGAGCCCACAGCATCATCTCTCTATCATGCTTACTTTTTCACTTGAAGTTGGGAACTCCATAGGAAGATTGTAAAAAGATCCTGTAGAAAATAAAATCAGTGAAATGAAATCATCATGCTGTGGTAATTAATTCAGCCTTCCCTTTTAAACCGTACTCATTAGCTTTCATTCTTTTTGTGTTGCTTAACAGTTTTCTTTCCTCAAGTATCCTGCGTCCTTCATGATGAAGAGCATGTACTTTCTAGTGTATTGGAAGCAGTGTACTGTGCTCTCAGAAGCATATCACATTAAATATTTCCTTTGGGGTATACAACAATGCCTCCGGAGAAGCTCAGTGCTAATTTGATCAAATGAAGACTTCTTTTTCTATCTTTTGTTGCAATAACTGCTATTTTTCATGACCGTTTTGAGCCACATGTTCTTTTAATCTAAAAATTCCATTGTTACCTTAATCTTTTTTCCTGGTCAAAAGTAGACATGTTTCTCTTCATCTCTTCCCTGCTTGCTGTATTAATTAACTGAATTTAAACAAAAATTGTCATGTACCTGAAGCATATAGATTTGTTATGACTGAGAACTCAACTATATAGAGCAGATGGGAACTGATATCCTCAGGTCTGTAAGGAAGTCATGTCTGATAAATGAAAGAAGTGTGGTATTGGAAAGAAAAATAAAATAAAGCAAATATAGTAGTGGTAATTCAGGAATTAAGTTTATCTGATGAAAGAAATAATAAGGCATCATCTATTCCACTAACAATGTCCATTTGGAGAATTTAAAAGTGAGGTTGAGCACACAAAGTGGGTAAATTCTTTGGAGTACATGCCTGTATCTTCAGAGCGTCTTTCATGGACAAACCTTTTTGGAAGATTCACCCTCACTTTCTCAGCGGACAACACTAATCAGTGGTTGTCCCACCTAGTGCATCATGTAAGATCGTGATTTATTTTTCCCTAAATGTCTTTCTCTGCTGTGTCTCAGCGTGGGGTTTTTTTTTTATATCTTACCTCTCCCTCCCTTTCCACTAAGTGCTGTCATTGACTGGTTGACACAGTAACTGATTGACACACTATGCTTACCCCACCAAGGGTCGTTAGGGCCCTATCAGTTGCATAATCTCTGAATGAATGGTAAGTAAAACAGATATGAGCTGCATAGCTATCTGATACTATAGATTAGAGAATCAAGTCGGGAACCAAAGCAACCAGAGTATTTGCCTTGTCTGATGAGCTTTATCCTGTGAATATCAACAAAAGCTGTCTTGTCTCCATCTTTTACAATCTAATCTCTTTTTTCCCTTATCTGTTTTGTTAGAAGCGAAAATGTATCTGTCATTCTCATAGCACTGACTTCAAGATTTAACTAGAGGGCTAACTTGTACTTTTTGTTAAGGTAACGTGACATAAAAATATCTTCCTCCTGGGTAGAAATCTTGGATAGGTTTTGATCCGTTTTTTTGCACAGCCACTCGATTTCAGTTTTAAAATGCTACGAATTATTTTTATGTCTCTAATAAAATGATTTGTCAGCTCCTCTGTGTATTTTCTGATGTGCCTACTATGGAACTAAGCAGACTGTTCCATATTCTTACAGCTGGGAGCTTTGTTCAACTGCTTAATGTTGTATGTCAGGGTCACCTCAATTTTGTTGATTTTCTAGTCCTATTCGGAAAGCATTACCGTTACACAGCACCCATCAAATTTCCTTTGCTAGTCATAGTCTCACCTAAATGAAGAAATGCTTAGAAGCTGATGCAAAACTGAAAAGAAAAAGAAAATTCCTTTTTCATGAAATTTAGGTCTGAATTATGTAGAAGTAAATGCCTAAGGAAGACATGAAACTCTTAGGACTTTCCAGTCTTTGACATTTGTTTCTCATTGATCTTAATTGTTGTAGCAACAGAAAATATCGCAAACACCTCAGACGCCAGGATTCTTTGCTGAGGTATCTGGGTATGGAAGCAGGTAAATGGCTTCTATAATGATTTACCCTTGGTGAGGACATTTTTACCGGTCAGTCCAGTCACTAGAAAGGAGACCAGGATTGGATTGGTTCTTGAATTTGTTTTGCTTTGCCATTTTGTCACCAATTGGCAAATATTCCACACTGGTAATCAACACTGCTGTGTAGTGGCAATTAGTTAAAAAAAAAAAAAGAAGCTGGAGGATTTAAAAGAGGAAAAAAAAATACCCTCTTGGTACATGTTTGAGAGAACAAGCTATTTCTTAACACCTTTTCTTCAAGGAGTTAAGATGAATAGCATCTTTGAACAAGGATTTCAAGCATGCACGGATTTTATTAAAAAATAAAAAGATGAAATCCTGTGTAAATTGTTTAGAACATTCCTAGTGAAGATATGTTGATTAATAAACATAAAAGAGGGAAGATGCATATTAATTTGTTTACGTACAAGAGGCTTCTAGCTCATTAAAAGTCTTCTAAGCATTTAACTAGTGAAGCAGTGGATAAAACCAGACATTGTCTTTAATCTTGTTGAGGGCTTCAATATGAAAAAAAGCCTGATTATTGCTAAATATGTATAATAGCTGTGTTAATGACAGTGGTTTGAAAATGTGGCACATATGTCAACTCAGTGGTTTTGCTGCAATGTGGTGGAAATTTTTTTTCTATCACTATTGCTGGGACCAGTAAGACTGAAGAAAATTTAACTTTATCAACCACAGTCTTTGATTCTTGTATATAGATAGCCATAAGTTCTTGGATATCGTTTTGTTAGATGTGATTTATGTCTGGTTATCAAATGGGAGATCTCTAGGAAAGCTCAGATGCAGTAGGATATCGGCTGATGTGCCTCCTGTCTGTTTCTTTTGATTCTTTGTTGAACCCCTACTACAAACTGAGGTATTTGCACTGTTTATTTTAGATGTGGTAAAAAAAAAAGCACAACAAAACAACAACAAAAAACCCCAAAGAAGTTATTAACAACTCATGTTTACAGGAAAAGAACCCTATGGGCTATTTTAAAGGAATTGAAATATTAACTTAATGTCCTAACCAAATAGAGATTGAGTGATTGCATTCAGTCTAACTTAAAAACAAATGAATAAGAAATAGCTGAAGAACCACTTAACACTCTTTCTTTGGGAGAAAATCACCAGGTATTTGTAAGTTTTCCCTAAAATTACCTCTTCTTTTTAGATACTTCTTTTGTGAAATTTTTTTCTCTAACAGCATTAACACAAATTAGTTTTAAAAAACCTGATATATTCATTTTTGTAAGCAACAGATAAAAAAGTAAGCATCATTTATACTGTATTGTGCAGTTTGAGTTTAAGCATAAAAACTTTTCCGTATTTTGTTTGCTTTTCATTTTTCATCAGACTGTTCTTTCTCCTTTACTCACTGTTTTTTTTCTCTGATTTTTCATGTACCTGTATTTTTATTGTCATTTGCACTGTGAGAGAGAAAGCAATGACTTTCTGTTTCTGCTTAGATGTTATATTTATAGAACCGTATAGCTTCTTATTACTCGTGTTACTTACTATTATAATATGAATAAATGCTCATACCAGAATTATGTTGGTAATTTTGCAGATCCAATGCATGGACCACGAAAACTAGAGGTTGTGGAGATCAAATCTAGACAAATCACAATTTGCTGGGAACCATTTGGATATAACGTTACACGTTGCCATCGGTACAACCTCACAGTCCATTATCGTTACCAGGCTGGAGGACAAGAGCAAGTGAGAGAAGAAGTAAGTTGGGATACAGAAAGTTCGCATCCCCAGCACACAATTACTAATCTATCACCGTACACAAATGTCAGCATCAAGTTAGTGCTAATGAATCCCGAAGGACGAAAAGAAAGCCAAGAACTTGTTGTACAAACTGATGAAGATGGTAAGTTTTTGTATTTACATATACATATACGTTGTGCATGCATACTGCCTGACGGTCAATACGCTTTTCTATGTAAGTGCATGTTCTACTTTCACTGAAATCTGTAGTAGATTTTCCACCAACTTCAGCAGTTTTAAGGCAGTTAAGCGTTCATTAAAAGTGTTATAATGATCTTTTACATCATCTAGAACATCACACATCATTTAATCATGTCTTCGTTAAACTCAGAACTTGTGCTTGAACTTTGTTCTGCCTCTTAAAAGTTTCAGTATCAGTTTCAAGGAATTTCAGGTGATTGTCCACAGTATCCTCCTGTAAGCTTTTCTGTTGAGTGATATGCTCAACATTAAGTATTTGCTCTTGATTTGTGGTTTCAATTTCTCTGGCTTTGGCTTTCCAACAACTGGATGCTGTTAGTTGCTTTTTCAGACAATATGTTCCATATACAGACATTCAAATATATAGATATTCCCTTCCTTTTAGTAATTTTTGGCTACCTTGGGGTTTTCAAATATCATTTTTTATTTTGAGCAATAATGTAATTTGTGTCTTTTTTTGAAGCATGCACAGCGAAATTGGCTACTGTGTCTCTGTAATACTCTAGTAATATTGCGTGAAAAGGTTATACCGTCCTCCTGAGTCCTCTGTGGTATTATCATCATTATACATGCAGAGAGTTTACTGGAGCTCTGTTAGCTATGATACCAAAATGGGACTTCCTCATTGAATTGGTCATGCACCAGGAATCAATTTCACCTTTCCAGAACACTCTGTGCTGAGGTATAGCCCCTTAGGGCCCTCTACAAGTGTATCTTAGGTTTTTTGACCTTGCTTTTAGCCATTTTAAAATGCATGCTGTTCAAAGAAACCTTATCAAATGACTGGCGTAGCTTTGTGTAACAGATCTGTCCTCCCGTTTTTATCATCCGCGATCTGAACAGGAATGGCTTTGTGTTTTCTTCCAGCTTAATGATAGATTTACTGCAAACACGTTGGAAAGATTTCTAGAAAAAACTTCAGCGATGTTGAGTTCCTCTTACAATAATTACTTGAAGTCTGTCATTGAAGCCTATTAAATCTTTTAATATAAACTGTATTGGGTTTGTGTAGTACTAATTTCTAATCAAAATATATGAGGGAATAAATTAAACAATTTAGGAATGTATAGTTGCTAATGCAACAGATTTGACAAAGCATAGCTAACAAAAAATTGTTTAATTAGAATTAATTTTGCTGTCATCCTCTAATTTTGATTCGGTTCAGTTGTGGGATGACAAAGCTAAAGTCCTTATTATTATCTGGGCCATTTTCGTATTTTCTCTAAGATTTTGAGCAATATTTTCTTATTCCTGGCCCTCTGGAACTTTATATCATTCCGAGATCTATTAAAAAACAGCATCAGTGATTGAAAGAATATCTTGGACAAAAAATTTTAACATTGTAGTATACCACACACTTTCAGTAAGGTATGAAAGTCTGATGTAACACAACAGAGTATTCTGACCCAAATAATCATCATAATTTCTTGAATCACACAATCATGTAGATTGCAAGGGACCTCCAGAGCTCATTTAGTCCAACCTTTTGCTCAGAGCAGATCTAGTGAGAGGAGATTGCTCAAGGTCTTGTACAGTTAGGTTTTGAGTATCTCCAAAGATGGATATCCCATAACCTCTCTAGGTAACCTCTGCCAGTGTTTGACCTCCCTCATGGCATAACTGCTTAGCATTTATGGCCTTCAGATAATTTTAGAGGGTTACCACAGAGTTTTGCTCTATTTCGAACTTATTTGTACTGTATTTAGTTCCTCCCTCTTTACATATAAATCATTAACCCCATGATTCCAAATTAGTTTTACCACCTCTCTCCTACTTGGAAGCAAGGAAGGTTTAGATTGCAGACTTAAGGTTGCCCTAAAGGCATAATAGTACTGCTCCATACAGGGCTGGTAAGCCAGCTCAGAAGCCATCGCCTGTGTTCTTGGAGCTTCCTCTTGGTATTGCAAGGGACTCTGTGAAGACCTATGGAGAGCTGACTATGAAGTCTCAACCCGTGTAAACTCCCAGACCAACAGCATGGATGAGGAGGAGGATAGTGCTCTACCAGAGGGAGCAAGGGGAAGGAGTCACCAGATATCTTGTTTTCAGATCTTTCTATTCTTTAACCATTCGGGTAAATTTCATTAAGGGATCTGAGAAGTCAATTCAGCCACTGCAGCGAGGAGTTTCCACCTTCTTTCTCTAGCATGTGGAAGATGTTAAGTGTATCTTCTTGCTGGATTTTCACATACAGTTTGTGGAAAAGTGCTAACTCATCAATGCCTGTTGCCTCAAAACAGTCCCATGTGCATTTTTCAGGATTTTCTTTCACATTCCATTGCATGTGTTGTTACAAAAAAACTGCAGGTACATATCCATATGCTGTTTATGCATCTCCTTTTCTGAAAACTGCATTGAGGTTGGCTCGGGGATAAGGCAATTGTTGCAGAACAAACAGGAAACAGAAGTAGATATGTGAGAGTGGTTGACATGCCTTTTATCAGAACCTTCTGACATCCCTGACTCTTCAGAGGTCGTTCTCATAAATTAAGAGACTTTAAGAAAAAGGAATAACGTCAGATTTTCAGTTTGGCTGCTTCATAATTTCCTTATGTTCACCCTGTTGTGTAAGTCTTCAGGCCTTCAGTCAGTGAGCATCGCTGTTCTATGCAACATGTGGTTCATCTTTCCAAGCTAACCATTCTAGTTCAGTGTGTTGAAACTATACCTTGTTACTTCCATGCATGTCCATTTTCACCTATGGATGTTCAATATGTTTTTCACTGTGGGACAGTAACTCTGTTGATAAGTAGGTATGACAAATAGATTTTATTTACAAGAATTTATATTTGAGATATTGCCTAATTACTTATGAAAAGCTGATTTGTCCTTTTCTTTCATGTATAGCGTTTTATAGGAGTGGTGTGGTTCTCACTAACTCCTTCTTACACTGAAGGTGATGCCTGTCTTTCCTCAGTGGCACTATCTTGTTAAATAAATAACTTTCCTCCTGAGCTACTCTGCCTTTGCTTCAGTCGTGGGATAGTTTTTATGCCTCAATAGTGTGAATATGAAGCAGAGTGTCTACTGAATTTTTTCTCAAAACAGCATTTTTTCCTTTTTGTATCCCTTAGTCCCGAGTGCTGTGCCACTGGAATCCATTCAAGGGAGCACCTTTGAAGAGAAGATTTTTCTTCAATGGAGAGAGCCAGCGCAAACATATGGTGTGATTACTTTGTATGAGGTACCTAGCATTTTGCCGTGTTTTAATTTTTATGTATAGTTTTGATTTTCAAAAGTGCATGATTGCTAAGAATTTTTTTTCCCAGTTTATGTAAAAATCAATCTTCCTTTTGAAGATAGTAGCACTTACAAAGTAATAAAATCAAATATATAATGTAGGAGTGAATTATGAAGGACACAAAATGTCCCTGGGTTATCAGCTTTAAAGAAAACTGCTATTTTCAGAATCTTGTCATATAGCATTCTATCGAGTAATGTAGATCAAATATTTAAAAGATTGAAAGACAGATCTTAGTGAATTTTTTAAAAAATAGGAGACATAACGCAGTGGTGACAGTCAACATCACATTTAGATAAGACTCATTACAGGAAGCCTATTGTAATAGAAACAAGCAGGCATAATTAAAAAAAAAATCTAGCATTTTCTAAATGCAAATTCAACAAAATTATATGTTGTTAGATGTCTAAAAATCGCTGCTTTTCCTCATGTGGAACCTCTGCCTGAATACCTTTTAGAAAAATTGACAAAAGACTGCACAGATTAAGCTGTCAGACAGTAATCACTGTTAAGCTTCTTACCTGACCTTACTACAAAATGGTATTGAAATGCTTTGTTTAAAAAAAGGCACCTGTCGTGGTTTAACCCCAGCCAGCAACTAAGCGCCATGCAGCCGCTCACTCCCTCCCTCCCGGTGGGCTGGAAGAGAGAATCAGAAGAGTAAAAGTGAGAAAACTCCTGGGTTAAGATAAAGACAGTTTAATAGGGAAAGCAAAAGCCACGCACACAAGCAAAGTAAAACAAGGAATTCATTCACTGCTTCCCATGGGCAGGCAGGTGTTCAGCCATCTCCAGGAAAGCAGGGCTCCATCACACGTAACGGTTACTTGGGAAGGCAAGCGCCATCACTTCAGATGTCATGCCCCTCCACCTTCCTTCTTCTTCCCTCAGCTTTATATGCTGAGCATGTCATCATATGATACAGAATATCCCTTTGGCCAGTTTGGGTCAGCTGTCCCAACTGTGTCCCCTCCCAACTCCTTGTGCCCCCCAGCCTACTCGCTGGTGGGGTGGTGTGAGAAGCAGAAAAGGCCTTGACTCCGTGTAAGCACTGCTCAGCAATAATTAAAACATCCCTGTGTTATCAACACTTTTTCTGCCACAAATCCAACACACAGCCCCATCCTAGCTACTGTGAAGAAAATTAACTCTATCCCAGCCAAAACCAGCACAACATCTAAATGAGATACAGTGTAAAATAAAAGTTAAATTGAATAGTAAGCTATTGATACTGGTTTGGAAACTCTTTTATTGTAAGAGGATAAAATGTTATGAAATAGTATGAATTGGTTTTTATAAAACTAACTACTTTCCAGCTAGTTCAGCAGTTGTCTGTCTTCAGGGATCAGAATGTTTTAGTTAATATGTTAACGTTTTTATTGATGTTAGGCTTTACATATATAGAAACATACAGTAGTGAATTATCTTTCTACTTACAAATATGCATGCATGTCTAATTACGTTACTGAGGACTATATATACTGTATACATGCAGTTCATTCTGAAGTATGTATATGTACATAACTCCATCAGCTGTAATGGGAGTTGTGCAGGTGTATTCAGAGATAGAAAAGAATAGCTTGGCCAGACTGTCTTATAGATAGGACCGTGCAAGTCTCTGAACTTAGAATTCCAATAGTGAAGAGAGAGAAAAGAAAAGAAAAAAAAAAGAAAAAAAGAAAAGGAAAAAGAAAAGAAAAAAGAAAAGAAAAGAAAAGAAAAGAAAAGAAAAGAAAAGAAAAGAAAAGAAAAGAAAAGAAAAGAAAAGAAAAGAAAAGAAAAGAAAAGAAAAGAAAAGAAAAGAGAAAAAAGAAGAAAAAAGAAAAGAAAAGACAAGACTGCTATCTCCTTATACTGTTTATCTAATACACCTCAAAGCAGAGATGGAAGGACAAGGCAATCAGTTAAATTAGAAACTCAATTTCATTAATTTTTAAGTAAAAGATACCAACAGACAGAGGCAACCTTGTTTTAAAGATGCCCGTTCCAGGTGGCTGGATATTAACAGACACCTAGTTGCTGAAAGCTTGTTTGTCAATACATTTTCTGCCCTCATATTTGCTTAGAAGCCTAAAATGTATCACAAAGGTTTTATAAATATGACTGTTAAACTACCTGGAGGCCAACAAATGTACACAGTGAATCACATGGGACATTTTGCCTATTTTAAATGTATACTCCAGGTGAAATATAAAAGCATACTTAAGATCTATTTTAGCTAACTGAAGTAGCTCACAGGATAAGATCCAGACCTGTCAGATGAAATGTAGATACCTGTGTTTTATGGGTTGATGTAAACTATCCATGATGTCTCAGTAGGCACCTCTCTGGCTGATTGTTGTGCTGTCAAGGTAATGCATCCAGCACAGCTCCAAATCACCCAAGCTTGAGAATTAAGGTGTCTAGCTCCTGCCTGTGCATTATTGCAAGCCAAAGCTTGGACAAAGAGGTGTCTAAGCCTTGGATGTGGATACATCGATAATTCTGATCTAAAACTCATGGCCACTAAAGCTGCTCCTGCACAAACATATATGTATACCTCCTCTTTCAGGAGGAGGTCCCAGGGTCTTGATCCCAGCAGACAGATGAACTTAATGTGCAGTCCTGAGTCTGCATCCCTGCTCCCAGAGGGAAAGTTGAGACTCACCTCTGTGTCTAGCATTTCTTACTCTGAGTACCTAACTTTCTGTGTTGTTAAAAAAATCTCATAACCTAGTCTGTTTTCTAGGGCAGGCAGTTCTTTTTAGTGCCTGAAGGAGATAGTCTTTTAATATATGTGGTGGGAAAAACTGTGTGTTGAAGTATCAAATATTAAAGTATTCATTGCTGTTGTGAAATTAAATGCAAATCCAGTTATTTTACCAGTATTTAAATGGAAAAAAAGCCTTTAGATGAAGAAATGACATAATGACAAATTATACCATTTTGCTTCTCTGTCACCGGTACAGATCCACAGTTGTAGGAATAAAGGGATTAGTCCTTTGGGCAAGGCTTCATCTAAATTTCATTTTTAAAGTCCACATCCAGAGAGAAAATGACCCTCATGCCCTTTTTTTTTTTTTTTTTCATCACTGCAAAACTGGACTGGCATTAGCAATGGTGGACATAAGAAATTAATTTTCAAAAAAAAAAAAAAAAAAGGAACAGTCTTACAAGTAGGAGCAAAATACAGTTCAAGTTCATTTTAACCAGGCGAAACACTTCTTTTTTTCATGTGTTCTGCATGATCCATGGAAGATTTTATTTCATTACAGAACATCAGTGCCACAATGTGCCCTTGTGGCCAAGAAGGCCAATGGCATCCTGGGGTGTATTAGAAGGGGTGTGGTTAGTAGGTCAAGAGAGGTTCTCCTCCCCCTCTGCTCTGCCCTGATGAGGCCGCATCTGGAATATTGTGTCCAGTTCTGGGCCCCTCAGTTCAAGAAGGACAAGGAACTGCTTGAGAGAGTCCAGCACAGGGCCACAAATATGATTAAGGGAGTGGAGCATCTCCCTTATGAGGAAAGGCTGAGGGAGCTGAGTCTCTTTAGCTTGGAGAAGAGGAGACTGAAGGGGGACCTCATTAATGTTTATAAATATGGAAAGGGTGACTGTCATGAGGATGGAGCCAGGCTCTTCTCAGTGACATCCAATGATAGGACAAGGGGAAATGGATATAAGCTGGAACATAGGAGGTTCCGCTTAAACATGAGGAAGAACTTCTTCCCAGTAAGGGTAACAGAACACTGGAACAGGCTGCCCAGAGAGGTTGTGGAGTCTCTGTCTCTGGAGATGTTCAAAACCCGCCTGGACGCGTTCTTGTGTGATCTGATCTAGATGGTCCTGCTCCGGCAGGGGGATTGGACTAGATGATCCTTTAAGGTCCCTTCCAATCCCTAACATTCTGTGATTCTGTGATCAGCAACTTAGCTATCTAACAACTAAACACTGCAAAAAATTTATCAGAATCTAACATAGACTGCAGAGTCTCTGATAGCCTGGTATTATTTTGAATAAAATTTAAGTGATGTTTTGCAAAGTTCAGATAAGAATCATAGAAATATACAAAATAGAGTTAAAGGAAGCAGCAAGAGGTCCTTTAGTTCACGGATCTGTGGCAAAACAGGATCAGCTGTATACAGAAGATAGTTGTGATGTAGTGGTCTAACCTGTCCTTTAAAATCTCCAAAAAAAAGTTAACCTACTCTCCCACAAGCAAACATAACAACACTTACCATCACAAAGGGAGATTCTTTTGGGCAATATGTAACCTTAATTTCTTTTCTGCTAAAAGTTCAGATATTTCGTAGTGTAGTCTTCTTCTGTCTTCTGCTATAATTAGGAGGGTTAGTTGAGCAGTTTTTAAGGCACTTTCAGTTCAATTTATGGATGAGGAGTTTTAGGGGATCTGCCTATATCTACCGAAATAATATTGAGGTTTATCTAGATGTTATCAAAGTTTTTATTACTAATTTTCAGGACTTTATTGATGTTAGATTGGATGGGTCATATAAAAATCAATTTTCATTAAGTCAGAGGTTTTAGGAAATTGCATGTATTTAGGGTGTGTAATGCTGACACCTGGATGTTTCTATGTATTGTTCTATGTGTCGGTATTCTTAATTATAATGGTACGGAATAAATATGGCAAAAAGAATGTCAGTTATCACTTTACATAATAAGACTGTTGGAATTATTTGCATACACATGAAACTTTAAAAGTGAAATGGAGGGATGAATCATTTTGACTTTTTAATTTTTTAATGGATTTGTTATTTTTAAATTCTCATTACAGTGCATGGAAATTAGTAATTAATAGAAGAAATCTGGATCAAATTTTACTGCGGACTTTTATTAATGCTTCTAATGAAAACTAAAAATACTATTTGAATCAAAGAAGGAACTGAGGATACAGTATACACTCTACATATATTACTTAACATTTTATCTCTCCTTTCCTTCAAATGAGGGTCTGACCTAGGTACAATATAATAACCTGAAAAAATCCAAATTAGCAATTACAATAGCTAAGCTTCAGACTAAAATACAAGCTTTACCCACTTTCTGAAAAATTTGCCTTCAACTGCGTTCATCTTTTATGGATAATCTTATTCAGAGCAAAGTGTAATTATAGTGAATTCAGCTGGAAGTGGAGTCTACACCTTCTGTTATTCACTTATCTGTTTTTACCTGGTTGTTTTGGTTTTGTTATTGTTGCTGATCAAAACCAACAGTAAGATGGATTCAACAAATGACACTGTTAAAGCCAGCATCTTGAAGGAATTAGTGTAAGCCTGAACCCATCCTTTAGAGTTGTAATCTAGCTGCCTCTAAGTCTCTGTATCTATAAAAGTAATAACTCATACCAGTTATGACTGAGTTTCTGAGTCCCTTCGTGAGATTCAGGATTTGAAGAGCATAAGAGAGAGAGACAGCTTATCATAAAATGTCTGACAGCGCATACATCAGAAGGGTTTGCTGGATAAAGATGCAATCTCTGTCCGTCTGCTCAAGGCAGTTTATAACTTTCTTATTCTTTTGCAGATCACCTACAAAGCAGTCAGTTCCTTTGACCCAGAAATAGATCTATCCGATCAAAGTGGACGAGTCTCAAAGCTAGGAAATGAAACGCACTATCTCTTTTTTGGACTGTATCCTGGCACTACCTACTCTTTTACCATCAGAGCCAGCACAGCTAAAGGCTTTGGACCTCCAATCACAAATCAGTTCACCACTAAAATATCAGGTACTTGATTGAAGAGTATTATTGTTTGCTTATGATAATGACACGGGTGGTTCTTTTGTTTTTTGCTTCTTAAGGATTTAACAAGCAGCAAATTGAAAAAGTAAATTACATGTTCATCCCTGAAGATGTCAAAGTGACATATATTAACATATCTGAAAAACTTCCAAGTGCTTAAATATCAGCTAGTACTTTGAAATTCTTTTTCACAACTGTAACTTTCACCCAAGAAAGCCCGTGAATTATGTGCCTGCAGTCAGTGCCAGCTGCTGTTGCAACATTTAGCATAGGGTTTTTTGGACATGAGGATGAGGTTTCCATTCAGAGCTTAGTCATCCTTGACATGATTCTGAATTAGTACAGTAACGGTGCTGGAAAATCTCTTTAATGAGCCATGAACAATTGAGAGCAGAGCAGAAATACTATATGTCTAGCGCTCACTTAGAAAGTGTAGCTAACTGCCAGCCTGCTTATGTTCCTAGCAGGCGTGTGGACTGAAGTGGATATAAAACTGATTTAGACAAGAACATCAGGACTAGTGGTTTTCAGATAAGAGCGGCATGGCTCTGTCACTTCTGGAGATCCATGAACAGTATTTTAAAGCCCTCCCAGAGGCACAGGAACACTTCATTTCTCTAGCTGATGAGATGTAGTACTATTACATACTCTAAAATGCTTTTGTAATTGATAAGAAAATGTTTTGCAAAGTTACAGTTGAAATCCCTTTATTCTTCACTTCTCTACAATCTTCTTGGGAATTAAACTAACAATTGACCCATGGCCCCTGGATAATATTTACAGAAAATTGCATTGTCTGTTTGTGGTCAACTTTGCTTTTCAGAAGGGCTAAAGGAAAGCATTTGGGTGCAAAATCTTCTTTCTCTTTTACTCACAGTCCATGTACTTTTCCTCATCACTCATTTTCTATCCTCATGGCATGAAAAAAAAGTAACAAGTGTTAACCACA